CCAAAGTCACTTGGAGATCGGACATAATTTCGGCATCACTTGGAGATCAGCCAGAGTTTCGGCATCACTTGAAAGTTATGCGGAACTCCGGTGCCCCGTGGAAGTCGGGCAGAATTCCGGTGTCCCGTGAAATTCAGGTAAAATTCTAGCGTCACTTGGAAGTCGGACTGAATTTTGGCGTCACTTGGAAGTCGAGAAAAATTTCGGCGTTACCTAGAAGCTGGGCAGAATTTCGATGTCACTTGGAAGTCAGGAAAAATTCTTGCGTCCCATAGAAGTTGGGCAGAATTCTGGCGTCCAACGGAAGTCGACCAGAATCTCAGTGGTGGTCGAGGAGGAGTTTGTTCCCTCCTACTCTTCTCTTCTTCTTGCTTGGGTCATTGTCGACCTCTGAAAGGACACCGCTTAGCTGTGGAGTGCAGGATTGGGGTATACGACCGCACCTACCCCGAAGGATAGAGACGATTGTAGGCCTCCGCGCTCCTCGCCAATGGGCCGATGGGAGGGCAGATTAGATCGTACATACGACTAACCATTGTTGATAGCGGCTCTCGCCAGCGTATCACGATGGGTAGTAATATATACGACCTGAATCGTAACAATGTTGTTTCCCCCACTCGAGGATGAAGGAGACCAAAGCAAGAAGAGCAGGAGGAGGATTTTCTAGCCACCGGACTCCCCCTCAACTATTGTCGGACTTTAGCCCGACCATCAACTTTCGCCAGATTTCTGCACGGCTGCGAAATGACGTCGTACTTCCACCTGGTCACCGACTGACATGAGATATACAGCTATTAAGATTGTTGCAACTTAGTTTTTTTATTGTTAATATTATTACAACATGTGTGTTTTTAATGATTCCAAATATTATTATTTTAATTAATATTTCTCCTAATATATTTTGGATATATTATTTTTATTATTTGTGTGTACTAACATTTCAGGTAAAATCATACTCCATATTGTTAAAGGAGGAGGATTTTCTAGCCACCGGACTCCCCCTCAACTATTGTCGGACTTTAGCCCGACCATCAACTTTCGCCAAATTTCTGCACGGCTGCGAAATGACGCCGTACTTCCACCTGGTCACCGACTGACATGAGATATACAGCTATTAAGATTGTTGCAACTTAGTTTTTTTATTGTTAAGATTATTACAACATGTGTGTTTTTAATGATTCCAAATATTATTATTTTAATTAATATTTCTCCTAATATATTTTGGATATATTATTTTTATTATTTATGTGTAATAACATTTCAGGTAAAATCATACTCCATATTGTTAAAGACTTCAATTCAGATTAGATTAGGGTTCATTGTAAATGGAGTCTGTATTTTTATTTTATTGAGTTAAAGAGAGTGTGACTATAATTGAGTAACCGTGCACACACTTACTGCGGGAATGTGTAAAATCTGTAAATTTTTAAAACTAATCGTACTGTACGATTTCAATTTGTACGGGACGATTTGTTCAGTTCTTTCCTTCTACAAGCAGTTAAACAAACTGTGTGAAGAAAAAAATTTCTTAGTACTGATCGTACTGTATGAAGTGAGCATCTTACAGATACTTTGACTATCAATTAAAAGTTTTTAAGTTCGTGTCATTTGTACATAATGTATGTGTGAATTTAGACATTATCTCTTAGGCTTCATTTGCGATGACTGTCTTATTGTTTTTTTAAACAACTTTTCAGTATAAAAATTAAAAGTTTGTACTAAAACTTTATTTTAATACATAGAGATATATATAAATGCAAGGTTTTGAAAACCGGACCAGACAATGATTTGGAAGAAGGAGAGGTTCACGGTTTGACCAGTTCGATAGGTCGAACCGGATGACGTAATAAATAATAGTATTATTAAAAATTATAAAATGAATAAAAATTTTTCCTCTAATACATTCACTATACATTTCATTTTCATATCAAATTAATCAAATAATATAAATATGGCATCAATGAAGTTTATAAAACATAAGCTAATAAGTAAATAACACACTTTTTGTTGAGCTCTATTGTGTGTTGGAAGTTGATGAATGCAACCATCTTCAATTCTCCTTTTCTATCATGTGAATTTGTTAAAAAAATGAAATGAGCAAAAGAAAATGAAGTAAAATATATGATAAAATAGACATTAAAAAATATTAAATATGTAACATATAACATACAATAGAGATAACTTTATATTAATTGATAAGACAAACTCAAAATTCATAAATATAAAAAAGTTTTAACTTAATACCATAGAGACAAAAAAGTAATAATTTTCATTCAATTGTTTATATCAGTTTACATATAAAAAACTCAAAACACTCGTAGTGAATCTAATCATCATACACTAAATTTATGTGATCGAATGATGGATTCTCAAACTCTCTCCTTCACCAAAATCTTTCATCTCAAATACTTCTGCATTTTCTATTACTAATAGCAATTAACAGGCTATCCCTATAATCATACTTAACCCACTAACCATAATTACAAATGACCCTAATATTAGCCTGAAAAAGCAGAAACATACATGAGCAATACTATAATTTCTTTTCTAGAATTTCACTTCATGTTAATATGGATAATGAGCATCTGTGTGAATCATATATATAGAAGTAATTAATAATTCTCTTTGCATTGCTAAAATATTCAACATATATCCTACAAAGGGAGCAATACTAGAAGGTTCTGATGCTGATATAATTGTATTCAATCTTAATGCAAGCTTCAAAATATATGCTATTTCCCACCATTCTAGATCGGATACTAATGTGTATGAGGGGAAAATTGGTAAGACGGTCGCTACTCTACTACAAAGATTCTATTAGAATCAAGGAGGTAATAGCAAGTGGATGCAGACTCTCACCCAGTGGCGGAGCCGGAAAGTTTTAGTAGGGGGGGGCCAAATAATTTTTTTAAATTCTAACATTTTTTTTTTTCATTCGAGCTTCGCTTTCACATTGAAAATTTTAAAATTTTGTTATTGCATTTATTATTCTTAAAAAGAAAATATTATACATCTAAGACAAAATTGAACTTGACTTATGAGCTATTTATTGAGCCGGCTTGACTCACACCTCTAGTGAAACTATCAAGGTTTTGTTTATGAAAAATAAGTATTATGCATTTAACATCTAAGGCGTCTAAATATTCTATCTTCTGTTTGAATGCTCTGAAGCATTCATTATTATTATTTTTTTGAACAGTTTGACATACAGCTAAATTTTAAAAGTTTGACTTATTACTGTTTCGTCAAATGAAATAGAATCAGAAAACACAATAGATCTGCAAGGATTAGCGAAGATATTGAAATAATCTGAGCCTGAAGCCTCTGCATCAACGGCTATACATAACTCGAAGATTTCCCTCACCTTATAAAAATTCTTAGAAAAACAAAGTAAGTCATGAGTTTTATCAAAAATATTATACAAATTATGTTATTTGCAGCAGTCAGCAACAACATGAAATATAGAGTTCCGTAAGGGAAACCTGTTATTTAGAACGGAGGAGAACATGAGAGCATAAAAAAGAACAATACATAGAAAAACTTAGTTTAAACAACATGAAATATATGATTAAATAAAGCTTCAACAAGCTGTTAATGGTGTATAGCATGAGTGAAGAGATCATTATAGCACATGGATTGGACTATGTCTCTAGGTTTGATACCTGCATTAATTTGAAGCCACGGATATCGAAGGAATGAAAATGCCAAAAAAAATAGCATCAATTCTAAACCTATATGGAATTTCAAGGAAATATGCTTTATAAACTAAATAATTTGGATTACTTTCATCACTCACGATTAACTGATTGGGGGGTGGGGTTACCTTCTCAGCTGGCTTCCCAATCCTAATGTCGTCTTCTCCTACTTCATCAATTCAGAAAGGTTCACACACCTTAGCTTCAATTCAATCAATTCAGAAACTGAAAAAAAAAAAAAAAGTTTCTGAAACAGATATCTTGAATCAGTTGCTATTCCAATGTAAATGTTGGTTTTCCCTCCAGAAAAAGGAAGAAAGGTCTTGAATCTTCTTCAGTTATATATTAAGGAATATTTGATCAGCTTAACAACCTTGATTTGAGCTAGTTTGTTTCTGTCACGAACTAAAATTGTTTAATCACAGTTTATGCTAGTCCATTAGTTGATGGAGTGGTGCCATTTCAAAAAACATTATGAACATAATTGAACAACTTTATACCTTTCATAAATCACAACGTATGAAGAGCATGGACCACACGACATTCATGTCGATAAAAAAGGTACAAAACTTCATATTCACTAAGAAAAATAATTTAAAAAACAGAACAGAAATTACAAAGAACCCGCTTCTTTCAATTTCTGAGCAGTAATTACCAAGCAACGACGAAGGTGGAGTTGCAGCGACGAAGGAAGAGGATTGGAAGAGACACACGGCTTCGGTCCGGGAGTAGGAGAAAAACTAGGTTTTACGTTTTACTGTTTTACACTTTTACTAATGACACAACTTCACCTCAAATACCACAAGATTGAAATCAAGCGGCTGAAAATTGCGGTTAAGATTATTAGGCGGCTCGCGCCCGGTTTCACGGTCTGACCGTCAGTCGGACCGGTTCAAAGCCGATTCTTTGCTTACCTGATTTCAGTGTGAAAAAACGAACCGGCCGGCTGACTGAGTACCGGTTCAACTTGTTGAACCGGAAGGTCCGATCCGATTTTTAAAACGTTGTATAAATGACTGGTATGCTATATCAGCGGCCATTCATTGGTTAAACGGATTGTCATGCCAATATATATAAATTAGTTATTATATTTGTTTTAAATTTTTGTCCTCTGCCCGGCTCCACATTTCCACTTGCCTAGCAGGCACTCACGCACGCTCAGCACGGGGCTGGGCTAAGAGAGCACGGTCCTAACATAAAACTTTGCCGCTGATTCGTTCTAATTCTCCACGCCAACAAACCACTGCTATTTATCCCTTTCCTCTTTCCAGCTTCTCAAAAGAAGAGAAACTGAGAAAGAGTACCATGGAAAAAGTCCTCCTCCTCCTCCTCCTCCTCTCATGGACCATTACCGGAGCCCTCGCCGGCGGCGTTGGTCTCGCAAACGTCACCCATCTGGAGATGTTCGTCGACAAGCTACCGGATATGCCTAGGGTCCAGGCTTACCGCATCCGCAACAGTTTTCTCGAGCCCGGTAACCTCACCATAGGCATGTACGAGAAGATCTGGGTTAGTCTCCCTTCCACCTCTTCGACTTCTAACTCCTATTTTTCTTTACGCTGGCGTCGCCGGAGGGTGGCTGACCTCCCCCTCTTGGAACACCCTCGCCGCTTCTGGTCGCACCACGGCGGCGATGGCTTCCATGCCAGAAATTTGTTGGGTTTTTCTTCAGATTTATTCATTAATCTTGAAATTTTAAAATTCTAGCACTTTTTAATTGGTTTATTAAAAAATAGGGGATTTACATAATTTTTATAATAATATTTTTTTTATAAATTCATTAATATTGAAATTTTAAAATTCTAGCACTTTTTAATTGGTTTATTAAAAAACAGGGGATTTACATAATTTTTATAATAATATTTTTTTATAAATAAATTAAAATATTAAAACTGACAAGATAAATATACAGATATAAATACTTCAAAAATTCTCTATCATGTAAAATTGTAAATTCTTCTAAAAAGTAATATGAAAATTAAACTATATAGATATCTTTTTTTTTTTTCTTTTTTGAAAATAATAATTTAAATGGAGTGAAAATACAATCATTATTATTTTTTAAATATAATTTATTTCCACAATAAAAAAAATTGTGTGGAATTCTATAAGTGATGATTATGCACGTGCGGAATACTATAACGGATGATTATGGAAAAATGTACCGCATTTATTTATTACTAATTTTATTTTATTTATTAATGTGATTTTGTGCTATTGTCGGTCAAAGTCTTCGAAATTTTGGAATTTCGATTTTTTATGATGAATGGTAAAAGATTATTGAATGTTTTAAATTTTGAATTTCATTAATTGAGCATTAATTTTATGTCATTAATGAACATACGAATTCATTGAATTTGTGCTTCAAAAGCACAATTTTTCATATTTATTAAATTGTTTTTTATATTTCTCAAAAACAAAAAAATGCAAAGAATCGGTATCCACGTGTAAACTTCCTATTGGACGTTGTATTGACTTGTGTTACGTGGTCCACATTCGTCACCGATCTGACGATAATAAGGATAAAAATTATATTTGGATTTTCTGCCATCGTTTACATTAGGATGGGCTTCAAAATAATTTACGTGATATTTATCATGTAAGGGTTATTTAAATAACTTTCTTGCTATTATGTTTTTCAATAAAAATTATAATTTTATCTTTTTATTATTTTTCAAAAAATTTGTGATGTAATCTGCTTTTATAGAAACAAAATTGTTATTTCTGATCATTTTTTTACTATTTTATTTTGCAGATTATAATCATAATTTTTATTTGATTATTATTTTTAAAAAAATTTTTGATTAAAATTTTACTTTTTACGGTAGCTTTAAAAAAATTAATTTCTTTAAAATAATTTTATAACATTTATAATTTTAATTATTAATTAAGAGGTCTTTCATTTGAGTCATATATATATATATATATATATATATATATATATAT